CCCAAGAGTCTCCAAGTCCAACCTCACCACGGGCTGCCTGAGCTCCGTGATCCCTTCCAGGCCTTGAAACTCCCCGACTCCATCCATTAATTACCAGAGATGATGGGTCTCAGCCTCCCGCCTGCCAGTTTGCTATTTTTAACACCGTATTTCCAACCCCCCATGTTAAAAAAATCATGAGTCAGGCCTCAAAAAAACCGACTGAGTGGGTCTGTAAAAAAAATCACCTTTTTTTTTTCTGGCAAGTCCCTTCCAGACTCTCTCCCCAGTGCTGGCAGAGCCAGCAGTGACCACAGAGCTCAACGCAGCACCAGCCTCCTCGGCCATTGGTCCCAGCAGTTCCTCCCCACTCCTGGCACACAGAAGGTCCTTATTAAAAAGCCAAATTAGTCTTTCACCCTCTCGTGACAAACTTCAGAGCCTTGGATTAATTAATAGCAGATTGTTCCTATTCTGCTAATTAAGCTGAAATAGGCATTAAAGGCTGGGATTGAGGCCGCCCAGGAAAGTTCTTTAGTACTTGAGGACAAAAAGAGCTGGAGGGCAGAGGGGGGTTTTGGGGTCTTTCACAGGGTGTGAGAGTTGTGGTCGGGGCTGGCATGGGATGCTTGTGATGCCAGGTCCCAGTGGCCTCCCAGGATGTCACCTGTTGGTGGCTCGATGCTGTCCCAGCACGGGGGAAACTGAGGCAGAGGCAGGGCAGCAGCCGGGGCTGCAGCAGCGCCCGGGAGACACCGGAGCATCCCGGCCCCGAGCGCCCCCCTGCCGGGCTGCAGCGCCTCCGATAATTAATTACTATCAACAATTGCATATTAATTAATTTAATATCCATTATTATTCATTAACGCGGTAATTAAATCCTTCCCGTAATTAACACACCACCCAGCAGGGCGGTCTGGCGGCTCAGCCCTGTGGCACCAGAGGAGAGGGATGCACAGGGAGAGGGGATGGAGCCCAGCACAGCCCCCCCGCGTGGGTGTGACCCCCCGCGTGGGTGTGACCCCCCCCGGCGTGGGTGTGACCCCCGGTGTGGGTGTGACCCCAAGCGTGGGTGTGACCCCCCGGCGTGGGTGTGACCCCAGCGTGGGTGTGACCTTCCCAGTGGCAGCG